CTGCCTTCGAACTCAGCAGCTGAAAATGAACCAGCCATGCTTGATTCTGTCTGACTGATGAAATATAGCAAATAAAACTCAGCTCAGCAGCCTTCTGGAAAAAGAACTGCTGTGTACAGGAACTATCCCTCAACGAGGATCTTTCTACGCTCCAAGCCTACCTTTATCTTTGCAATCCCATTCCCCTGCACCGCCTTCTCTGGAGGACAGAAATGAGGCTGCTGTGATTTAATCAACCCTCATACCAGCAAACAAACATGATACATACAGCACATGTGGTAGAATACACACATGTACTGCTGCAATGCGCACTTTATTCCACGAGTTTCTAATTCTCCTCTGAACTCTAACCCTCCCCTACACAACTACCCAGCTTCTGTACCCTAGTTGGGAGCAAGTCTGACCCCTACAATATCATTCCTTCACTAAACAGCTTCCTGGGTAATCAATTTGCTTTTTTGAGCTTTGGGCCCTTCATTTCCTAAAGGGGATAATAATGGTCCCCAGCTCAGAGGAGCATTAGGCCCAAATTCACAAATTGTGTGGTCTCCACAAATGCAGAGATGCTTTGGGAGCGTGACAGTGCTGTCCATGGGTACTTCCACTGGACACACTGTAGGTCCAGTGGGCATAACTCCTAATCCTTCCTCATTCTCATCCTGTCCACTCCAGAGCTCTGTCTCTCGCTACATTCAGCAAATTAACCTCTCAAAGCCTGTGGGTCACAGATAGCTGAGTCACTGGCCACCGATACAAATGCGTATTCCTGACGCCATGACTTTTGAGAGCTTGTGCTCACGACTGTAAGATCAAGGCTTGATTTGCCGGAAAGTCATTTCTGATACGTGCCAGGAGACGTGGCCTCCTTTCTCCTTTTGTTTTTTATAGACACATCAAGGACAACCTGAGCTTTGTAAACAAGTGCTTGTCACTTACTCACAGGATAACCTTCCTTAGAATTAAAACAACACACACACACACACACACATGCATGCATGCACGCACACACACACACACACATGCACGCACGCACGCACACACACACACACATGCACGCACGCACGCACGCACACACATGCACGCACGCACGCACACACACACACACAAAACTGTATAAAAAGATGCTGCCGATGCAATGACTGAAATATGAAAAGGAAAACCGCAGAATGGGAGAAAATATTTGCAGATCATGTATCTGATACACCCAGAAGACACAGAGAACTCCTGAAAAATACAATGAAATTCAAAACTGGACCAAAACTTGGGGAGAAAACTTCTTCAAAAGAAGGTATACAAAGGACAGACAAGCACAAGAAATGCGCTCAACATTATGGTGCTACTCATTAGGGAGACGTGAGTCAAAAACCATGATGATCTACCACTCCAAACTCACCACGATGGCACTGCTGAATAAAGCAAAACCACAAAACAAGTATGGAGAGACTAGAGCCTTCATGCACCGTTAGAAAGGAATGGAAAGTAACAACGCTGCCCTGGGAGCCAGTATAGTGGTCCCTGGAAAACTAAACAGTAGAATCACCTTATGGTCCGCTGATTCTACTTTTGGGTACATACTAAGAACAGATCAAATCAAGGACTCAAAGGGATCTTAATTCACCTATGACAATAGCAGCATTATTCAAAAACTGCTGGAAGTTAGAAGCAATCCGACTGTCTATGTAAGGATGAGTGGATGAGCAACAACAGTCTGGCCCGTATGGTAGAATATTAGTCAACTTTAAAAAGGGAGGAAATTCTGTCCTAGGTTACAAGCAAGGCAGACCCCGAGAACACGGCTTGAATGCCTTGTGGTTCCATTCAAGTAAGGGGCTTGGAAATAGTCGGAATCACAGAGACAGGAAGTAGAACCGTGGTTACCATGGACTGGGGAGGGGAGAGGACACAGAGTTCTGGTTTAATAGGTACAGAGGCTCAATCTGACAACATACAGAGGTTTTGGATACCTAGGGTGTAACACACATGAAATAAGGCTTACCAAGAAAGTGTGAGGACTTGAATCCAAACCCCAACACGATCTATTTTTCATATGCCTCTCTCTCAAGCAGATTTTTTAATTGAATTCCTTTAGGATCACTGCTATCAAATTTTAGCATGTCTCAAAAAAATCACCTGGCCTGAGAGTAGAGGGTGAAAAGTGAGGATTCTCAGGCTCCATGGCTAGAGACAAAGTCCTGTGGTAGGCTCGGGCATCTGTCATGGGATTCAGGTATCGATGGCCCATTGGCCAGCAGCTAGACATTGGGATTTGGGATATTTTTCCCCCCTAAATCTATTCCTGTGAAATTGACAGTAGCTTATGACTTTTGACAAAGTAAGTGTTTGATGCAAATAAAAGAATCTCAAAGCTATTTCGGAGATCAAACAGTTCATCCCTTTCATGTGTTAGATGGGGAATCTGGGGCTCGGAGAGGCCAGATAACTTGCTCAGAGCTACGGGGAGTTCTGACGGAGCCATGACTCAAAGCCAGGGCTCTCACCCAACCAGAATCCAAAGGAAATGTGGTTGTTTCAGATGGAGGCAGATAGGCAAAGTGGAAAGGAAACTCCACTGCTCATCTTCTAATATGCTTTATGACTCTGGAATCATACATATGCATTATGTACTCAAATTTTAATTTAATTAAGTTAATTTATTTAAATAATTAACGGGGGACCTTGTTACGCAGGCCCATGGTTTCTGCCAACATTAACCCCCTTGAAACGGAATCTCCAGGGGGTGCACTACTGTGTGCTCCCTAAGGGTGTGGAGTTACTTCCTAAAGAAGGGCTCACACCCCTTTAACTCCTAAAGTAACAGTATGAGTGTAGAGTAAGTTACCACCTGCTCGAGTTTTTTTTATGGTGGATGCCATAATTACCATATGCCTACCAGAAAACAACTTGCACATTGATGGTTTCCATTTCTCTAATCTTTTACTAGTATGATTATATTTAAAAATGGGAAAAGAAAGAAATCAACCCATGTTTGAGCACTGGGTAACACATTGATGAGAGAGAGCCAAGAAGCCTTCAACTGCCATCTCCCTGACTGTCATCCACACTGTGTTTGGATTAAAAGAACTAGAAACAAACAAAACCCACATTCGTGGTTCAGATGGACAGTCATCAAAAACTGGTCTTTTCTGGTATTGTACCTAGTAAAGTTGAAAACACACATACCTAATGAATGACCCAGCCATTTCAGTCTTATGAGTATACTGAGAAGCTAGGTTCTGGTGGGTCATGCCTCTAATCCTAGCTATTCAGGAGGCTGAGATCTGAGGATCGAGGTCCAAAATCAGTTTGAGCAGGAAAGACCAAGAGACTCTCATCTCCAGTTAACTGGCAAAAAAGCCAGAAGTGGAACTGTGGCTCAAGTGGTAGAGCACCAACCCTGAGCACAAAAGATTGAGGGACAGTGGCTAGGCCCTAAATTCAAGCAAGCCCCGGGACTGGCATACACGTACAAACACAAGGTTGGATGAAGAAGATGGCCGGATGACAGTGTAGAGATTAACAACCAGGTGGTCAGTGGTATGAAACCATCAAGCATATTTCATGTTTGAGAAATTTTGTCTTGTAATTTTTGTTAGGCTTTCATTTAAAATCTAAAATAGGTACAGGTCAGTGGTAGAGCACTTGCCCAGCATGTACCACACCCTAGATTTGACAGCAGCCTTGAAAAAAAAACCTGCAAGTCTGAATGAGCATTGTTTTGGATGAATTTTACATAAATCAATTCCTACTTAAATACTCTCCTGGATGCTGCTGAAGGACCCAAGAGATTTCAAATGGGATGGAAGGATAGAATGTTCTCAGCCAAGATCCCCAGGGAGTGAGGGGAGATCTGGGCTCAGTGGCTTACGGGGACCCCCACATCTCCAACCAGACAAAGCAAGCAGCAGGAAGAAAGCAACTTCCGTCACACGCCCGACTCAGGAAGCCCTGACGACCAAAATCCTCGTGAAAAGTTAATTTTCTAGATAATCAAAACTTCTCTCATTAAACAACTCTTTCATTTAAAATGAAATCATTTTTAATGGAATCCTTTCTAAATTGTATTTCACACATCCCTGCCTTCCTGAAGATCCACGGAATAGAATTTAACCTTTCAACAAATGACAATAACAATTAGGTACCATCTTCGTAGGAGGCACTACCCAAAATGCTTCGGAGCAAATTTTCTCCCTCAGTCGTCACAGAATCCCGATGTATGAAGTCCTGGCATTGTTCCATGGTGAAACAACCACCATACAAGATCACACAGCAAGCACTGGAGGCGGGAAGTTGCTGCAAAGCCTGAACTCCTTTATTCTCCCTACAGCCCCGCTGACGAAGGACATGTACACTACCGCATGAGGCCGATGCGTGGACGAGAACACTTGCTGTACCTCTTCCCCTCATGTTGTTTGTCTTTCATCACTGCCTCCCGGCCCCGGGTCCATGCATGGTGCTGGGATGAAGCCTCTTGCATGGTAGACCAACGCTGGACCACTGGGTCACGCCCCCACCTCACTCCACCACATTTTACCATTAGTTTGCACATCCCACTCCAAGCTATCACAAACCCCTCTCCTCAGAAAGAAAACTCTACTCCTACCTGAAATCTAATACCAAGAACTTTTGTTTTTCATTTCTTTGGACTCTCAACCTTGTTAGATCTTTCTATTGGGCTTAAAATAGCTCATGGAGTTAGAACAATCTTCTGTATTGGCTTAAGAAACCCCTCTGGTTCTCTGCATTCTCAAGTGTCCTAGATTTGTCTTTTGTTAATGTGGCTCTGAAGGAAATCTGGGATGTTCATCAGATTAAGAAAAACAGCCCTCCCTTCCTTCCTCCCTCCCTCCTCCTCCTCCTCCTCCTCCTGGATCCATCTGGCCGCGGTGGCTCTCCAGAAAATACTACAGCAGCGCAGATAAGCACCAGGCCTGCAGAGAGTCCATTTCTGTCGGGTTTATCAGCTGGCAGGCCTGCCGAGGGCAAAGAAACCCCATCCTTACCCCGTTTTCAGGCTGACCAAGGCGTCCTCCACTCCCTTCTGGTTGAATTTGGTCATGTACTGATGCATATACGGATAGTTATTCCGAATGTTTCTCTCTGTACTCCCATTAGGCACTGTCCCGAATCGAAAAGGTGGGGAGTAGTCATGAGGTCTCTGAAACTGGAGAGAAGAGAGAGATACAGAGACGGAGAGACAGAGATGAAGAAAAACAGGAGGAAGAGAAGAAAAAAATTACCAATCATTTTTTTTCCAATGACAGGAGTTAAACACACATGTATTAGTACAGGACAGCAACTCTATGTGTGATACATATATACATACATTGGCACATATATACATGTATGTGTACATCCACAAATATGTACATGCATGTATACACATGCATGAGGCCTATGTATATATGTATTGAGTGCTCTCCATACATATAAATGTGTATGTGTGTGTGTATGTATGTATATACATGTGTGCTTTCCTTGTATATAACCTGTTAGGTTTGGAGGCCCTGTTCCTAGCTTGGTTGGTTGGCTCAATAGATACTTGCTGGATGAAGCTTGGCTGGGCCATTATAGAGACAAGCGTAATGTAAGGCCCACAGTCACTGCTCAGGAAAACGTTGGCTGAGTTGGAATTAAGGTTCTACACGGGCCCATCCCTTTATCCACTTTTGCTGCTGTTGTTGTTGGTTGTGGTGCCTGAACTCAGGCCTGGGAGCTGTCCCTGAGCTCTTTTGCTCAAGGCTAGTGCTCTATCACTTTGAGCCACAGCGCCACTTCCAGTTTTTGAGTGGTATTTGGAGACAGGAGTCTCTCAGGGACTTTTCTGTCTGGGCTGGCTTCCAACCCTGATCCTCAGATATCAGCCTCCTGAGTGACTAGGATTATAAGTGCGAGCCACTGGTGTCAGGTTCACCATGTTGTAGTTGTTGCTATAATCCTCACAACACCCCTGCCACATGAACACTCTGTTTTACAAGAGGGAAAATGGAGGCTCAGAGAGGTTACCTGCCCTATTTAACATACTACCAAGCAGAGGCCTGGAATTCTAATCTAGGTGGCCTAAACACAGGCAGAGGTCTTAATTCTATTACTCCTCTGAGACCAGCACTGAAGACCCTCATCTTGGTTTCATATGAGGATCTGGGGGAGCTGATTATGGTAGCACATTTCTGTAATCCCAGAACTCAGGAGAATGTGGCAGGAGGCTTGTCAGCCTCGGATACATAGTGAGACTCCATTAAATAAAAACACAGAAAGGAAGCGAAGGAATTGGGAGAGGCCGCAGAAGGGTATGGACACCCGAGCTGCAAGCCAGAGGTCTCTCCAACTTCCATCCCAACAGGAACCGCTGGAGGCTGTAGCCACGTTTACCCCAGAGGCAGATCAACCGGACACATCACTCTCGTTCCCAGACTCACACTTCGTTTCCCTGGTAATTAAAATATCCAGTTGGAAATCATTTTCCCTCACTTGGGCATGCAACTAGCTAACAAGTAACTGTAACTGGACTTGAGCGGTGGTATAACTTGTACTGGGAGAGAGAGAGAGAGAGAGAGAGAGAGAGAGAGTGTGTGTGTGTGTGTGTGTGTGTGTGTGTGTGTGTGTGTGTGTGTGTGTGTGTGTGTGTGTGTGTGTGTGTGTGTG